CCAAGGAGCTTAAAACAACATCCTTGCCCCTCACCCAAAACTACCAACTTACTTCCTTCTTCCTCACGTTACACCTTAGGTCACACCACTTTGCCAAGTATTTTGTACTCCGTCTTCGAAACTACCCATAACAAACTACATCGAGTAGATTTCTGGCCGCCGTTTTCATGCTGGCTGGGAAGGAGGTAACAGAGTGCTAAACAAACAAGAAGAAAGTGGCGAAGGGAGATGGGTGAAGGCTAGAAAAAACCCAGGCAGAACGCCTTGACACCGATCATACAAAGCAAACATTACAGAAACATGTCTCGCTCCGGACTTACCTGTTCTGTCGCTGCGGGAATTTGACCTCCTCTTGAGAAAATGTTCTCTCTCTTTAACCAGTTAGTTCAACGAAAATTGATGTAGGCTAAATGTGTTTATAAACTTTGCTCTGTTTGAAGGAAACACGCACATGCACAAACTTATTTAATGTTCACAAGATGAAACTTTCAACTCTGTAACGACGTAACCGGCCCGCGAACACGGCCTGGAAATGGACAGGTACAGAATGAACAATATGCGTTATCGTCTGTGGTTTTATCTCACTGTTCGTGACTTGTGAGACGCGATTTCTTCAGAGGTGAACAACGGCCCAGCCCACCTCTCCTCGGAAAAGCTGTCTAAAAATATCGGATAAGGCGCACGACACCTTTATTATTCATCGATAAGCCTAAGACTAAGAGTGACTCAGAAACACACTCTTTTCCGTGACGTGACAACATTCCTTGTTCCTTTAGGTGGTGCCCCCGATCGGCCAGGGTCAGTGAAGCGAGACTGTATTCGTCAAAGCCTTCTTCTGTACCGTAATATTGACACAGAAAGCTTGTGAGAGGCCCAGTGGTGAAGAATGCTCGTGGCACGCTGGTTTGTCACTGTTCATCTCTCTCGCCTCGCCTCCCTCGTACTGCGAATTTATAATATCAGTAGGCCTACATTGTAAGCTTATTGGTCAAGAAGTTTTAAATCATAGCTTCCATCAGATCAGCAGAGCACGCCCGTTTTCTCTCTATCCATATAAGTGTATAATATTAGGATGTTCTGCGTATGTCGTTATTATATTATTCTCTTTCAGATTCACTTTTCCGCTTGCGAAACAACATATATATAT